TTGAAACTCTAGCGTTTTACTATGGGTAAAATCTAAGCATTTGCAAAAGATCTGATTCAAAACTGACATTAGAGGAAAATTCAACTTTCTGTCAGTTTGGGGATCTGATTCAAAGCTGGATAGAGACTTGACAGGTGAGAAAGATCAGCCTGGAGCCCAGCAGAGAACAGTTATCTAATTCTGTGATGCTTTTAATATTTCAAAATTAAGTTTATACAGATTCTGGATGAAAATCAAACTCAAACTTTTCCATCAAAGAGAAGGGCTTTTCAGCTGTACTTACTGGACTCTAACTCCAGAAGCAAGAAATTTGGGGATGCAGTGAACACAGTGTGCTGTTAGTTGGCCCTGTGGCCCCTGGAGTCTCTGCAGAGTGTAGCTGAAATTCAAACCTCACAAAGAGCATCCTGGGAATGGCTAAGTTTGGCAGTGTCAACATGCTGCTACCAGGTCCTGCTTTGGGATGCAGATCCTGAAACTAAATGCTTGGGAGGAGGTTATAACCAGCTTCTGAAATCTTACTTTGACTCCCAAATTTTTTAATCCTAGTAACAGCCACTTCATTCTGGAAGGTGGAGGATGGATATTAGGGGTTTCTGTCAAGAAAATCCAGTGTCTTTTTATTTAGCCTATAAAATATCGTTGCTGTTTCTAGTCTTAAAGATTTAGAAATTTGATGTCATCTCCAGCTGGAGGGGCTCAAAAATTGTATAAATGTGAGTACAAATGTGTGGTGGAATACTTGCAACCTAAGTAAGGCACACATGAAATCCTCTGTTTCACACACAGCAATGACCTACAAGAGTCCAGAAACATGCGCATCCCTTCCCAGCCACATTCCAGGCACTGGGACCACATGGAGATGTTTTTGGTTCCAGATTTGAGGCAATCAATGCAGCGTGTTTGGGTATTGCCTACCCGGGGTGTCCAGGTCTGCATCCCTCTGGATGCACGGCGCCAAAGGAACCCAATGCATGTGCTGAGCAGCTTTTTAAGTCAAAGGAGAATGAGTTTCTGACACACAACAGGAATTGTGTCACCAATATGTCAGTTCTCCTCTCCTGTGCAGCAGGGATGAGGGCACACCACTCTAAAGTGGTGCTGTGCTCCAGAGCCAGCAGCTGAGTCCCTCTGAGTTGCCCCAAATGTTCAGCTTTTGGGGAGGAGCTGAGCACTAGGAAGAGCAGGCTAAATTTCCTCTTCCAAAGCTGGCATAGAAAGATTTGTATAAGCATGTTTATTTTTTTTACAGAAAAGCAATTAACTTGCTGCTCTTTTAGAAGTAAGAAATATCTCATTCTCTTTCTTCCCACAGTCTGATACCGTTATTTGTTCTTTGCATTTAATATTATTATGCCTAACTATTCCTGGGTGCCAAAGCTCCAAAGAGCAGAAAACCAAATATTTTTTCAATTTTACTCTGAACGATGCCTAAATACAACAAAATGAAATCTAGCATAAAGTCTCAGTAAAAATAATATACTTGAGCAGATCTTTTTTCTGCCCATTTTAGATGTACCTAATATTTTTTAAAATTTGACACATTAGAATATTTACACTGGCTGGCTTTTGGCAGGTTATCTGCATCATGCACAAAAATACTGCCACACTACAGTTTCTGCCAGGGAAGTCAAGATACAGAAACAGATAGCAGAGGAAGAACCAGATATTCCTGCACAGTCTCTCCTCCTACTGTTGCTGAGTTTTGGAGTGTAACATCCTCTGTGATGGCACCTCTGCCTGCCATGGAGCATCCACGCTGTGATGCACAAAATTAACCATCTCCACCTATTGCATTTCACAGCTGCTGTGCAGGAAAGAACAGAGTTTTTGCATGAGGAATTTCAGGCTTAAATAATCAAAGTCACTCATTTTTACTACATCTTTAAAAACTTTGATTCATTGTTTCCTGGTCTTGCTTTTCTTTTTTTTTTACCTTTTCTTTCCAGAGTTACCTGCCTACATCTACCACAACACATCATAACATCATCACATCATCACATCACATCACATCACATCATCACATCACATCATCACATCGCATCACATCACATCACATCACATCATCACATCAATCTCCTGGTTTCACTTTCTGCAGTTTACAGGGTTTCCTCTTCTTTCCAGAGGGGAGTGCCATGCCACTATGGGGAGATAAAGGATAGGCATTGCACATCTGCCCCCATGTTTCTGCAGACTCAGGGTGTCAGTTTTGCTGCACACAGCAACCACAGAATACTCTCTTCACCTTTCAGTGGACCATTTATGCTCTTCGGTTTTCTGGTGCTTTGCTTCAAGTTTTCTTATTTAAGAAAACAAAATTTGTGCAGCTCCTGAGACTGAGATAAAGGCAACAGCAAATGAGGAGGCCTCTAAAGCAAGTTCTCTCTATTCTTCTTTCAAATAATCCATTCTTATTGCTTATGGATATTTAAATATCTTTCCTACTTATGAAGCATGCTGTGGTGCAGTGCTATAATACAGTGATTTAAAAAAAAAAACATCTAAAGGTTAAGAAGGAAGAAGAGTATGTTATTATACATTAGATGAAAAACTGTCTTGCAATAATAATTGGACAGCATTTTACATTAAAGCAGAGAGAAGACTGAACTTCTCTCCCTGTAAAACTGTCTCAATCTCTTAAAACTTTGAAAGTTCTCAGAGGCTTTCAAGGTCCCAACTGAGGAAAAACCAAAGTGAGTTACTGGACTCAATCAGCTATTCCTTCAGCACAGAGGAACTTCTAGGATTGATCTTGCCTTTTGTAAGTTTTTGAGATTCAATCATAAAATATTTTATTTTGCCATTCATTTCAGAATTTGCTTAATATCACCATGGAGAGTGGGGTCGGGAAAAAAATCTGAACACCAAATTTCAAAGAGTTGTTAATGACTTGTAGGGGTTTATTCTAGAGAATTAGCCTAATTCTAGATGTGGTACCACAGACCGCCCATGGCTTCCAATTCTGTGACTAAACAGCATTTTGACAACAAAACACGGCAGAGACAGTAACTGAGAAATACTCACTGGAGGAAAAGCTAATAGTGATGGAAAATCTGCATTACGCTCTGCAGACCGGAGAGTGCTGGAGCAGGGCATGGTATAACCTTTTGCAGCACCATAAGCACTACTTAGAGAAAGTAGCTGGCAAAGCCACAAGACAAGTCACTCTAGGCTAGCCCTGAGAGCTGCCCATGATCTGGTGTGTGGGGTGGATGCTGAGAGGCCTCTTAGTGCCTGTAATATGCTTGAGCTTAACAGCTCTGTAGGAATGAAAGTGCGAAAAACCCAAAAGCTCAGGGTAATAAATTTCGACTCTAGCTAAGAGAATTCTGTAAATATAAGAAAGAAACATTAGAAGAAGGAAGAAGAGGGGTAAAAAAGTGGTAAAGTATTTTCAAGACAGTTGGATGCTACTAAAATACTGAGCAGAGTTTCAAAGTCAACCTGTACTATCAGTCAGAAAAAAATGCAAAAATGTTTCCCTTCTCTTTTATATAATATATATGAGTATTTCCCCAGTGGTTTTCAGCAAAAATGTTGTGGTTCTATAACATTTCTTTTTATCTTTTTTCTTTATATTTCTTTTTTATCTATTTCATATTTCCAACCCATGAGTCATTTGTCACTGTTAAATATTGATCACTGGTGCATATTAGTCAGAGTTGATTGCCTCCTGACTGGCACTGATTATCTGTACTGGTCTAGACTGATTCCCTCCTCTAAAGACTCCACTGAATGACTCTGAGGACTCCAGCATCTTCTGGAGGGCCTGATTATTGCTCAGACACACAGAGATTTCTGCAGTCTCTAGAACAGCCTGGTCCAAAGCCCGAGATCCAGGCATGTCCTAATTTGGGAGGATTCAGAGTAAAAATTTGGACCTGATATTCCCTAAATTTCTCCTATGAATACAGGGTCTGGGATTTGGAGGGCCCTTTAGTGACCCCTCTCTTGGTGCTCATGTAGGCAGGGATAGGCACAGTCCCAAAAAGATCAGGGACATGGATGATCTAGGCATTTTGTGGAGACTGTTGCTCCAGCACCTGGGGAAATGTGTGCTGTGCTAGCAAGAGAGAGGAGTCCAAAGACTCCTGGGCTCACCCATGGCCATCTGTACCTACAGAAATGCAGGACTGGGTTTTGCCATGAGCAGGAAAGGAGAGATTGAATTGGTGGGGTGTGAGTGTGAAACACATCGAGTTCTGCTTAGGATTGCACTGTCATTGGGGCAGAGCATCCTCACAAAGCTGAACAAAGGCTGTATTTACAAGTGACTTTGAGCTCTGGTCAGGGAAGGTGAGTGCACTCTCATCTGTCACCTTGGTGTACAGCTAGAGTGACGCCACTGGAGATTGGCAAAAGCCATCTGAATAAACAGAGGGTGTGTGGGATCGGTGCCCAGAAAATCTGTGAATAGAGAGATAATTGATTACCTGATTATTCTGAAGAGTCTTGAGCCTCTAAGTATTTAGGAGCTGTGCCTTTCCAGACAGGTTTTCTGTATGGTGAAGAAAGCACTGCCTTCCTGGGTGTGCAGCACACTCCAGCTCTTTGCAGAGGTGAGGGAGAGGTCTATTTATGAGGTCAGGTAGATATTGACAGGTCCCTTAAGCCTACAAACTTAATAGGGTTTTGTTAATATGGGAGAGCATGTTGGTGTTTGTTTATGGATATACCATAAGACTGAAGGTAATCAACATCATAGCGAGCCCAGCTGAGGTAAGTAAGCAGTGCTGCTGAGTGGAATACCCAGGCTCATGGGTTTAGTGCAGGGAAGAGCTCCATGCTTTTACAGGTGTGCCTGACTCCAGAGCTAACAGCTTGGGGTGCCAGGTAATCCAGAGATGACAAAGCACATGGCTGAGGCCATGTGTGCTGACTTTGTTACTGGCTGCTGCTGTTGGAAGAGCATGTGGATGGCTGTCGTCAGAGTTGTACCAAAAGAAAGCTCAAAGGAATGCCAGCTTGGCTTTTTTTTTTTTTTTTTCCCTATCACTCAGCTGCACTGAAGCCCGACACCTCTGGTAGCCAGTGAGAGGCTGGTTCTGTGCTGCGCTCTTACAGGAGAAGCCTGGCTGCATTAACTCTTACTAAAACCAGCACTAGACAACTTGAGCAAAACCCAGTGATGGAGGTCAAGTCCACAGAAGCCAGCAGCAGCTCCCAGGGAGGCACCGGCTGTCTGGATCTTACCCTGGTCACTTTCACTGAAACGGTGACTTTCACAGAAGTGGTGGCAGAAGAGGAGTGGGGATCCTTTTACTATTCCTTTAAGGTATTACTTTAAGGGGTGCATTACTTTTCTCAAATGTTTGCAGCTTTGGAGCTTTTTCAGCACATATGTGGGGAGGCAACTAACATTCTTTAACTTTTTTTCCCAGATATTGGTAGGTTTTTTTCCCTGCAAAAACAGCTGACAGCATGTGTGAGGCATTTACTGAAAAGCAAAATACTTGTAGAAATTGGACTTCAGATTTACATATCTTAGCTAACTCTGTCCCCTTCCAAGAGAGGACAGTACTGGTTTTCTGTAGAGGTATTGTAATTATACATGCATCTTTAGTCAAAAGCTTGCATTATTTTAACACATTTTTAATGTAATTTCTTAGATGCATCATCTTGGCATAAGGGATTTCTTTTCAATTTTCCAGCTGTAACAAATATTGTACACAAGTGAGACAGGGTTTTTGTTGTTTGGGGTTTTTTTAATCGTGAGGGACAGGTTCTAATTTGTTTGTTTGTTTGTTGGTGAGTTGAGTGGGGGTTGCAGTGTCTTTTGAAATCTGTTGTTAAGAATGCATTAGATGAGTCATTCAGTGAATGCTGTTCAATTGAATGGGAAGTGTATTCAGTCATCTCCAAAACTAAACATCATCCTAGCGATATGTAAATGGAGGAAAAAGATTGGAGAAGTCCTGAAGCTCACATTTCCTTCAGATTTCTCTGCCTGTTGCTACTGCTTAATTTTGTTCTGAATGCCATGTATCTCTTTTTTTTTATGGTACGTTGTAACAACTTCAAGTCATTAAAAAGTCTGGCTAGGAGTGCCCTGCCATTCCTTCTGGAACTCAGCACCAAAGAGATCAATTTCAGCAGGAAAGATCCAGGCATTTGTATCATTTGACAACATGAGAGGTAAAAGGGGATATATTCAGGAGCAATTTTGTATCTGTGAGAGTAGTAGTAGTGCTCTGACACAATCTTAGTGGAATCAGTGGAATTACAGCAGGTTCCCAGCCCTGGTTTAGAAAGAGATGATCCATAGGGCCAGTCTTAATTAGCGAGGGTCTCTTTTAACATGCTGCTTGAAATTGCTAAGGTAATAGTTCCTAACTAGGATTTCAAGGGTGAAAAGTATTTTTTATTCCTTTTTTTCCCCTCTCCATGTTAGACTCCTAAAATGCTCTTGAAAAAAAATCACAAGGGACAAGAAAACTATTTTAACAACTTTCTCTTTATCTTCTGTCTTCTTTTCACAGTTAGGGCTGTAAATCTGAACAATGTCATGGGAGCAATATTTTATAATAGTAAAAGTGACAATTAATTCTATGATTAGAAAGTCCCCAGGCAGAAAAATGCTCATTAATAGGAGAGATTGAGTAAATTACAATAATTAGGGAACCAAGGATAGTCATGCATGCTCATCCACTGCAAAAGGAAACGATTCTGTAGCTGAGGGCTTCTCATTAGACTTGCTCTTGAGTCTGCCGGATGCCTGGCTCTGGCACATGTAGCATGAACTTTGCAAGGAGACTCACTGATTTCACATCAATTACTAGCTGTTGATAGGCGTGGAAATATTTTGACTCTAGAGACAAGTGACAGCTCGTGCAGCTGTAGGAAAGGAAGGAGAAAGCACCTGCTCTGATGACTGCAGTGCAGGGAAGACAGGGCTCCCTGCCAGCAATTTCAGCACTCAGTAAAACCCACATGTGGAAGTTGCTGCTGATACCTGTTGACTCCACTGGCCATCATCCCCCAGCTCTGCCCATGTTGTGGCTGCATCCTTGCCCACTTCAGCAAGCCAAGAAGCATCATCTTCCTCTTTATAATGCTGTAGTTAAGCAGCTAAAACAATTCAAGTTTCAGTTTGGAACAGGCTGAATGAATTTGAAAAACAGAGCTCAGTGTTCAAAATGTAGCTTACAAATAGGGTTTGGATTTTCAAACACACTGTAGCTTGTGGCTGGCTGTGAAGGCAGGGTGGGTGAGCGGTCACTACACAGGCTGAGCCCAGAGCCTGTGTGCAGATGGAGCACACAAGCTATTTCTGCTTGGAAAATGCAGGTGTAACCCACCTTAGCAAAGCAGTCATAGGAAAACATGATCTAAACTGATAAAAGGAGACTAGGGAGTGACACCCTGTAACTGTGTTGATGACTTTTTCACGATTCTACCCAATGACAGCTGCCAGGGTATCTCACACGCTGCTCAAACTACATGAGCATGTGCTGGTGTCTTCTTTTCCTCCCGAGTGGCAAAAGGATGGCCAGTACCCACCCCAGGTAGTGTCTGTGTTACACTGTGGTGACAACGTGACAAAAGTAAAATAATGTGCATTAGAGTATTTCAGTGTCAGAAAGGCTGAGCTGTGATTGCTTCTCTTCCCAAAAAATTTGCACTTCTGCCTCTTCCTCTGCTTGACAACTAAACCCTGCAGAGTTTCAGATTAGACAATGTTTTGCCAGTTCAGGTTTTTGCTGTCTTTTTGGGGGGAAAGCTGAGGAGAATTTTATTGATTTATTTTATCTCAAAAATGGAACATTTCCTCCCCTTAGAGGAATGCAGATTTTCTTCTGGTAGTCATTACTACAGAAGGGCCAGCTGCTCATCAAAGCTTTGCTAATGGTGTCTAATTTTGGGGCCATGTGGGCTAACTAAACTGACTCTTGTCATACAGAATGGCAGCTTTTGGGGCAGGACTGGGTGTATCCATGCATCACTCAGCATGCTAGAAGAGCTGGTGCTTTCCATGGCAAAGGCGTTGCCTCATTCCCACTGCCATTTAGGTCTTGCTGCTGTGTCATGGCAAATTGTCCCTGAAAACTCAGATCATCTTTCTTCCTGGGTGCCTTTTTTTGGGTATCCGGGTATTTTATACCTACCTGGTATAAAATACCAGGTGGATTAGTGTCTTAAACTACAAGGAATTCTGCTGGCTGCTTCAGCACCTAATTCAGAACAGATGTGTAAATTGGCATTAATTACAGCTCCAACCTTCCAAGCCAAAGGAAAGTTCATTACAATCCTTTACAATCTCCTCCATATGTCCTTAATCCATGTGTAAAAGGGCTCTAAGCATCAATAGCACCTGCCAAATACAGTAGTACAGAAAGTGCAGAAATCATCCAAATACCTGTAGCCTTCCTCTACTTTAGAACCTCCTTGACTCTGCAAACCTGACAGGGTACAAACCAGAAAACTGCCTGGAGAAAAGGTGGGATCTCAGAATAAGTTTGGCCTGATTTTGCACAATGTTTGGGAGGTTTTGTCAGGGCTAGAGGAAGCATCTCCTCCTGCCAGATTCTTAACAGACCAGAAGTTTTCACAATGGTAGGAGCATGTGCTTCTCCTCAGAAAGATTGGGTAGGGCTCATCTCTTTTTTAAGAGCTCTGCTGAGAAAGAAGATGCCCTGCTTTTACACAGGAAAGTAGAGCTTGGAGTGCTCAAAAAGAGAAAGGAACAGCAACTGTGAGTTTTCTCAGTGGGACTGTGTTCCCACCATCATTTCCTACCTCCCGGCAAAGCTGGGAATCCATCAAGTAGTACTTTTTGTTTCCTGCTGTGTACAGTCCCCACCTGTACAGCAGGAAACAAAAAAGCAGGACACAAAGGTTTTGTTGTTTACATCCAAGGTTGTTGGGAACCCCAGTGTCCCCCCTTGCCAAGAGGGAGCCCCAATCACTGCTCCAAATGTTGACACACCCCTGCCTCTGTGCCCACGAGTCCTGGTCCCCTGTGCCATGCAGCAAGAGCACAGCAGTGGCACTGAAGTGTTACCGCTTTCAGGAGGAACTGTGTGCTCATCAAAACCATCACAAATTATTTTAAATGTGTCTTTGACTGCACTCCCCCAACATTGCAGCATTCACTGTACCTGTGTGTTTTAGCCTATGTAGCTCAGATTTAAACAGGATAGCACAATCTAGCACAAGTAGGTACAACTCTAAGAGCATGGGCTGCTTATCCATGGAGCTAATGCTCTTTACAAGGGTTGGAGTTTTTACCATCACCAGCAAAGAGCTGAGGAGACCAACATGCTGAGAGGTTTTGTACGACTGTCCTGTTACATGGATTTGGCTCCAGGTGTTCTCAGAGACTGCTGAAGTCACAGTCTAATGTCCCTATCCTTTTATCCAAATGTAGGAGTCGCTTTATCTCCTGAAAAGTATTTGCTTATGCTATTGCTCATTCTGATTTTCAAGCAAATATCACAGAGCATCCCATCATTGAATACGTAATAGGAAAATAATAATGGGTGCTGTCAAATTTCTGGAGTAATCTCTGCAAATGCAATCACACATTTTAGAAAATAGACATATCAAATAATTCAGAGGTAACTTTGCAATCTTTCAGTGGGGGAGAGGAGGAGGATTAAGTTTACACAAATAAGGTGTCAGGGACTCCTGAACGCAGCCTCTGCAATATGCTGTAATGACTGTTGCTATTGCTGAGATGAGAATGATCTCCTTGGGCTGCTGCCCTGTTGTTGGCCAGGCTGGCCTCATCCAGCAGCTTAAACACAGCACAGAAGGGTCTGGCAGTCTGACAGCCCAACAGGGAGCAGCTCTGAGCCAGCTGATTTGGCCTGTTCTACACTGGCAAACCTCATACTACCGTCCCCGTGCTCCACACAGGCACATGGTTTGCACCTGTCTCCATCTCCTACATAAATGTCCCTAAAGAGTATAATTTTTTTTAACATTTTTGAGATATTTAAATTTTACCGATGAGGCATACATAATAATTTTAGGTGATTAAGAAAAACACCACTTTGGAGTTTTAAATAGGGCTGTCAAAAATCAAAAGATTATGGATAGACCTTTGAGTGGTCTAATATTATCTTTCTAGATTGAAAATATTCTAAAAAAATATAGATAGGTACACTGTTAAAAATTTATGTTTCCTGATGACATTTAAATCAGGAATATCTGTCTAATTCTGTGGAATTTTCCAAGAGTGCAATGAGTAAATCATCCTGCAATAACTGAACAGTACTGCCTGCATTTGTTATCTGTCTTGTACCAAATCACAACAGAATGACAAATAAGAAC